GCCATCTCCGCGCGACGCCGGGCGCCGCGGGTCCTGCGCAGTGGCCGCCGTCCCGTCCGCGCGACTGGCCGACATGTCCTTGGCGCTGCTGCGTCGGGCCGGCCGCGGCCGCGCCGCCCTGCGCGCGCTGACGGCGGTAAGCGGCGGGGCGGGAGGCCTGGCCCTGCGGGCGGCGCGGGCGGAAGGGCGCCTCGAGGTCATCTAGTCCCGCCCGCCCCGCGCGGTCTGGCCTGCCGCGAAGGAGGGCCGCTGCCGCCGCCTCGCGGGGCTCGCAAGAGTCCGGCGCTCGCCCCGCTGCCGCTCTGCTTCTGTGCCGCTCCTGCCCGCGGAGGCAGGGCCCGCCGAGCGCTTCCCGTGCGATGCGGCTCCCCTTGCCGCGCCGCCGCCCCCGGTGCCTCTTGCGTGGACGCCGCCGCCGCCCCCGGCCGTCTTTTGCCGCAGCAGCTCTCGGAGCCGAGCGCAGGGCGGGCTGCTGCTTGTGCCGTGCACACGCTGCCTCCTGCCAGGGTTCGGCTTGACATTGCGCGCATTTGTGCTTAACATTCCCTCTGCGGAGAAAGAGCTAACTGAGCAGTGCCCCAATTTAGTCGGGCAGATTAAAAACACAGTGCTTGCAATAACTGCCCATGGCAAGGGGCAATCTTCTTTTCCTGTACCTAGGAGAGGGCATCTGCTCTGAGATGAGGCTTTCTGCAGCATCAGTTGGCATGCTGATATGATGAGGTTAAAACTCAACTTGCAGTTCTAGTTAGAACAGTCTCAGTGTTCCTAGTAGGGCAAGTTAAAACATTATTGATGTTTTTGTTATTCTGTATTGTTGGTGTGAAGTGTAACTACAGTTTCTTGATTTCCAAAAGCAGATTCTCAGGTGGAAGTAAATGTTTATTTGTAAGTGCTGTATCATATTTTATATTAAGTAACTCAATGCAGCTAACAAGTAAAATAATGAAAAGTATGAAACAATGTAAATAAAACCTAAAGTTGCTCAACAACAGAAACAGAAAAATAGCCAAATGGATAGCAAATCATTTGGTGAAATTATTTGTAAATAGTGAAGACAAGAAATAATCCATACAAAAATAGAAAGTTGACAGTTAAAATGAAAATTAAGTAGAGTTCCTCGTTTTTTTCCTAGGCGAAACTTCATGTGAGTGCCTCTCGGAACCTGAAGTATAGCTGGCTGGCCTATATTTTGGGGGAGAGAACCACTCCAAGGTTCAGTGAGAACAGCAAAGTTTTCGTGGTGGATGGCAATTTGTGTTCTGGCAAAGGCAAACTTGCACGGCAAGTCGCAGAAAATCTAGGTATGCTCCGTCTGTGGGACTTTGTGAACTGATGTGTCATTACTAAACTTTTGTGTACTCTAGCCATGCGGTATGGGATATTTGGAGCTAATCTAAAACGGCCTCTGTGACATGTAAGGGCAGGTTGTGGTCATAGAATCACGGAATTAGCAGAGTTGGATGGGCCCAGTAAGTCCACTGGCTCTAGCCTCCAGGCAGTTCAGCACTCCAGATTCAGGCACCCCTAAAAGAGAGCCGTCCAGCTGCATCCTGATGGCTCCAGTGTGGAAGGGCCCGTGACCTCCCTGGTTTCCTAGAAATCTGGAGCTGCAGCACAATGAGCCAGGCCTACCGTGGAGGTATTTGGATGTGGACTGAGTTGTCCGCCTCAGTACTGCAGTGCCTTCCACGAAGAGAGGAAGCGGCACAGACATGAGCAACAGACCCACTGGCAAAGGCATGTAGCTCCTTGTCCTGAGCTGTCTTGCTGCGGAAAGTTTACAAGCATAATGATGGGGTGAAGAAGCTGCCTTGAGACTTCGGTAGCAGGAGCATATAAATAAAGTATAAATAAGGAAGTACAATCTTACATGGACCTACTTTGAAGTGAGCCCCATTAAGTTCATTGAGCTTTACACCCAGGTATGTGTGTATGCGGTTGCAGCCTAAACCACCAAATCTGTTCTAATTGGTTCTTGCACTATTAGTTTTATATTGTGCATTGCTCCATTCTGAACCCTCAAGGCAGCCAGCTCAGGAAAATAAATGGCTGCAGTAGCGGTTCAGAGGGAATGCAGGTGGAGGAGAGTGCAACGAGGCTCTTTCAAGGTGAACATGCCTGAAACCTGTCATTGTGTGGTGCTGGTTTGCTCAGGAAAGGTTAGACTGGAGGAGAATATCCCCGAAGAGTGTCATGGAAATCCTGCGAGTGCTGTTGCACCTTGTGGTTTTTATTTGCATTTGCTAATAGCTTAATTTGACCATCAAGATTTAATTTTTTCTTCTTAATCTTTGGTCCTTTCAGGTATGCGATATTTTCCAGAAGCAGATGTTCATTTTTTAGACTCAGTCACTGTGGATGGAACATTATTAGATTCCAAATTCAATGGTGATTGTAGTCTGGAGAAATTTTACAATGATCCTAAACATCCAGATGGAAACTCTTACCGGCTTCAAGCCTGGCTCTACTCTAACCGCCTGTTACAGTATGCTTACGCCCTGGAGCATCTGTTGACTACAGGTAATTCTCTTCTGAGTCCTGGATTTTCTTGGAGGAATGTAACAAACCCTATGGTAAAAGCAAAACCCTAGCTAAAAGCTCCGTTAAAAAGGAAAACGGGGAAGTAGATAAAAAGACAAAAGGTGCCTAAAAAAGTTTTGAGGTATATTTTTAAGGGTGGAGATAGTAGAATTGAGATGGGGGTCTTTCAAGGGACAATTTAATACTGAGTGGCCCAGAATAGGGGAGGTCTGGGTTGCTTACTGGCTTAACCCACAGTGCCTGCGTTCACATGATGTAACAACGCAACCAGGTGGAAAGCCACAGTGGGCTGTTTGTTTTGCAGAATACCCACGATGAGCCTGAGTTCATCAGGCCCATCATGGGCATCTTGCTCCCTCCTCATTCCCCCAGGCCACGCCTTGCGGGACAGCTCCCTGTGCAGTGGGGCCAGCGTGCAGGGGGTTTCCCTGCCCGGCACCCCCTTGACGAGGGCAGCCCTTTACGTTGCTTCTGCCAAGGCTGAAATGGGATTTGTTGCCCCCAGGGCAGGAGCCCGGTGTGTGATTTGGGGGCAAACAATAATTTAAAACAGGATGTGCCCTAAAGCACATTGGAGAAGATGGGAGGAGTTACTCCGAAGGGATCAGGAGGTGGGGGTGCCCAGTCTGTTCGCCAGCATTCCTTGAATCAGAGCACTCAGCAATGTAAAAAACATGTTTCTAAAGGCTGGTGTAATAAAGGCCTCCCCAGACAGTTGTCTGCCACCTTTTCTATGAATAATGCGGAACAGTGTTTTTCTTGTGGAGGTCTCGTGGCTGTGATCCATCTTTAATTTCAGGGCAAGGAGTAGTGCTGGAGCGCTCCCCCTTCAGTGACTTTGTCTTCTTAGAGGCGATGTTGAAGCAAGGCTATATTCACAAACGCTGTAAGTAAGCGCTTTTAAAAATAGAAATGCCATGTTGCTAGCAGGCAGAGAGGAGCATCTTGATCATGCCACTAAATAGATGTGGGAATGAATTGTTGGCCTTGTTTATAATCTTTCACCCAAACCACTGAGAGATAACAGTGGACTAATACCTGGTTAGCTAACTGAGGCTAAAAACGGTTAAAAACCATTTAAAATGGCCTAAAAACGGGGGTCAGGTCAGTTATCTTGCCATTTTTTTTCCCTGCATGCCACCGCATCTGCAGCTGACTGGACTGCTCACTTGTGTTTGTTGCTCGCTTTGTAGGTGTGGACCACTATGAGGAGGTCAAGCAGCTCAGTATCTGTGAGGTTCTGCCTCCCCACCTGGTCATCTACATTGACGTGCCAGTCTCGGAAGTGCAGAAACGGATTCAAGAGACAGGCGAGGTACGCCGGCCTTGGGGCAGAGTCTTGGGTTAGGAGTGCCTCCACCATCAAGGTGTCAGGCTTGCTGTATCTTGCTGCATGTGACTGCTCCGTTTCTTCTGATGCTGAAAGCACCATTCAGGCGTTGCATGCAGAATGTGTGCTGGAGCGAGTGTGTCAGCTCTGCCCTGTTGACAGAGCACCGTGGATGCCGCTTCTGGGCCAGAGGCAGTCAGCTCAGTCTCGGTGGGACCCACTGACTGACTGCCTCTCTTCCAGCGTGAGAGTGGGGGCCCTGGTCAGCCAGGCCCCCATGCTCCCGGAGGGAAGCCCTGCACATGGATGGAGCTGCTCGCACATCAGCTGGGGTGTGTGGCTGGTGCCCTCTCACTGCGGGGGGGAGGCCCCCTCCAGTACTCTGGCTGAATTCCCAAAGAGCACTGGACCCCCTGAAAATTCTGGATGTCACCCACTGAAGCTGGAAGGAAGGGCTCTGCTTGGTCTGAAGCAGGACACAGGCTCCTCTGTTGCATTCAAGGGGTGTGTGTGTGGTTTTTTTTTAAGCCGTACGAGAAAAAGGTCTCACCTGCCTATCTCCAGAGTATTGAGGACAGCTACAAGAAATCCTTCCTGCCTCAGATCAGGTCAGTTGTGTTAGTGTGCGATTTTACTAAAACTGCTGGCTTTGTGGGCTGGGCTTCTCTGGTTGGCTGTGGGCCCTGCTTATTTGCTGCTGTGTTTTGTTCTTAGCAAAGGGTGGGGGAAATTCCCCTCTGCCCAACAGGCAGTCAGGCAGATTGGGTGGGGTTGGCTCCCCGCTCATCCCTCCCTCCCTCCCTGCTGTTGTCTTCTGCTTCCCGGGCAGCATTCCTGCCAAGGCCAGCAAAGTGGAATCACCACGTCCAGGCTTCAGTTAGTAGTAGGCCTCTGTGAAGGTTGTTTAGCCCTTAAATAACTCACGATGGCTGGGTCCCCATGATAAGGCTCACAACCCCTTGTCCTAGTCAGGGCTGCGTTCTCAAAACGGAGCCATTGCACAGCTTCCCAGGCTACCTTTCAAGGCAAAGCCCTCTGGAAGAGGGCTTACTTGGGTTTTCATGCAAAAAAGGCTAATAAAGCAGGATCTGTTTTTAACAGAACAGGTACAAAGAAGAAAACCATCACATATACATATGATTTTGAAGTAATCTCTTTTCAAAAGCTCTGCCGGACATGATGATGCTAGTTTCCCTATGTCCAATTTTAACCTAAGAAAACGCAGCATGTTTTTATCCGCTTCCGTTTCCCCGCCTGGTGCTCTTCGGGTGTCTGGGATGCCAACTCACAGTGTTCCTTGGCAGGACCACTTGGGTCCCTGCGGCGCCTCGCTAGCCAGAGCTGATGGGGGATGGTGCAAAAGAGCTGGAGGGCACCAGGCTGGGGAAGGTGGCGTGGCCCGATCTGTGGCCTTCCAGGTGGAACTTTCCTCAGAGCATTTTCCCGGAACTGAGCCCAGCGCTCCCAGTTGGATTGGCCTCCAAAGGAACGATCCCTCTCCCTCCAGAATTTCTCCTCTTGCGTGCCCTCTCTGCTCCTAGCAGTTGGACTGGACCGTCTCACCGGTCCCATTTTCGTAGTGCCTGGCCTGTATGCAGCAGACTCAGACATTTGCATTCTGGGGTCTCTTTTGTGATGCGGGCCATCCTCAGTCCAGCTGCAGAGTGTTTGAACGAGTGGTGCACCAGAGGAAATTTCTCTTAACAAACGCGTGTCCACAATCTTGGCGAAAGCACATTTTAAAATCAGCCATAGTTAAAAGCATGTGGTTACTGCGTGTATTTGGGGGGGGGGATAATAGCCTTAGACTGCCCATCCTCCCCCGACTGTTGTCTAGCTGCAGCACCTCCTTCCACGCGCAGCCGTCCCGGCTGCAGTGCCCTGCTGGCCCCTTGCGGCATTCCCGGGCGGCGTGCATCCCGTGGCAGCAGTTCTGTGGTACGAGCAACCCACATCCCCCATTCTGGGATTAGCTTCCTGGCATTGCCTAAGCCGCGTGAGCTGATGCTGCCATTTTCCTTTGCAGTGAGACCTCGGAGCTCTTGCAGTACACGGCCAGCGAGGCCGCGCAGGTGGAGAAGGTGCGTGGTGAGCAGTGGGTGCCTTGCGTGAGGTGGGCTGGGTGGGGCTGGGCGGACCTGTTGGCCGGAGTTCGGCTGGAAGCAGTTCTGTGTGGGAGAGCCGGGCACCTGGCAGAATCGCGTAAGCTGCCTGGAGTTCCTTGGAAGGAGAAAGGGCAGGGCATAATCCTCATGGATAAATTCACCAATTTGTGCAGAAGAGACTGTGTCCTCCGACTGTATTTCATAAACTGCACACCAAAAGAGTCCAGCCTAGGAGGCAGTGCGGTGACAAGAACTGGGAAGGCAGCGCTTTGGCCCAGTAGACCATGTACTTCAGTCCCCATCATCCCGGACCACTGGCCATGCTGTCTGGAGCTGCTGGGGGTGGCTCCAGCAGCATCTAGCGGGCCACAGAGCACCAAGCCCTGAGCTGCCGTGCTGAGGAAGACCTGGGTTCAAATCCTCGTAGATCAGTTCACGCCATCATCAGTTCCCCTTTCCCCCCGTACAGGTCCTTGAAGACATTGGGTACCTGAAGTTTGGCAAGGGGCCCTGGCTGGAGCAAGACGACGTCAGCTTGCATCACCTGCGGGTTCAGTAAGGGCGGCCCTTCCTGCAGACCGATTCTCTTAGCCTTTTTGCTCCCGCCATGCTTTGCCCCCTGGAGGAGCCCAGCTGCCCCTCCTGTTGATGCTGCAGAAGCTGGAAGCATTTGCCTGTTTCCACGTTGCAAACAATCAACTGTAGAGCAGTTTTCCCGGGAGATTTGTTAGCTGAGGCATGCTCAGATTTTCTGCTTCAAAACTGGAAGTGCGCCATAGCAGCCGTGGGCTCATTTGACTGGCGGCTTGGAGTGGGAGCTCTCAGAACGGCCGGGGGCGGCTTCCTCAGAGCGTCAGTCCGCCTGCGCATCTTTGGGTCATGCTGCCAAGAGCCAATGGAAGCGCCAGCTTCCCGAGGAGGCTGCCTCGAAGTGCGGCTTTTGCCGAGGTGCCATGCAGCCCCTGCTGTTGAATGTGTTCCACAGGCTGCCTGGCAGTCATAGAATCCCCTTCCTTTTGCCCCCCAAGGTAGAAACTCCCCTGCCCTTCCCATGGAAATCATTCGGATCTAAAGCCATCGGCTCTCCATCCTTGAAGTACTAATTGCAGCCAGTCTTTTTCTTTTTGCCTTAGTGTGGAAGACAAATTGAGAGTGATCTACCCCACGTGTCTCCCCTTCTTCGTCCCTGAAATCACGGTGGGGGGCCTTGAGTTCGACAAGCTGTTTCACGAATACAAGGCGGTGAGAGACCCTTCAATGACCCCCAGCTGGCCTTGGCCTGCTGGTACAACAGGAGGTGGGCTCTGGGGGTGCTTTGGCAGAGTCTTGCCCTGGGCAGGCTTTGTAGGGGAGAGCCTGTGCGGCGGGACTCCTCCCTCATAGGTTGTGAACCCGCAAATAGCGCCTGCCTGCCTGCCTGCCTGCCTGCCTGTCTTCCTTCGGAAAAAATGTCTTTGGCAGTGTAAGCTCACCTTGGCTTTACCCCGCTGGAGCTTACCTTCTGTGGACTGCCCTGCCCCCTGCGATAGCTGTCGTCAGGGCCCCCGGGCAGAAAGCAGGACCTTGAAGCAGGGCAGGGTGGTGCTGGATCAGTTCCGGGGGCGGGCAGTGGGCGGAGGAGCCGGGGGCCTCGCCCTCACGGCCCTTCCACCCTTCCTTTTCCCTCCAGCTCCCGGGACGCAAGTATGACGTTGGCTACAATGCGGACATGGGGGACAAGTGGGTCTGGCTGAAGTAGCAGCGTCCCCGAGGCGGGAGGCGCCTCCGTCGACCGACCGGTTCCCTCTGCAGGCCTCTTCTGAGGAGATGCAGGAAGGGCCGCCACGGTTAAAGGAACCTGCAGAGAGGAGGGAGGGATGCCTTTCCTCGTGCGTGCAGATTTTTGTGACTTAAATTCCACTGGGAAGCCGGAGATGTGGTCAGCATTGCAGGTAGACTCGTCCATTTGAAGGGGGATCTCAGGCACAGGTGGGACTGGGCTGGGGCAAAATAAAGCTCTTTGCTCGTGTTGCCACTGCGGTGTTTGTGCATACGCTCGGCAGGTGGCACAGTGGCACCTCTGCTTACTAACTTAATCCGTTCCAGGACTCTGGTCGTGAGCCGAGTCAAACTTCCTCATAAGGTTCAATGTAAATAAGATTAATCCGTTCTGTAAATATTTTTTTAAATCAGAAAAATTCAAAACAAAGTAACAACAAAGTAAAGTGCAGTAGAAAACACTAACCTAGGTGGGGTGGGGAGGTTACTGTTTGGTGGGAGAGTCCAAACGACAGACGTGTGATAGCAGTTGTGCTCGTGCAGGGAAGACAGGCGAGAGAGAGACCATTTCGATAAAGCCACTTCACGTTTAATTAAAAGGGGAGAAGACTCCTGACATCAGCAAAGGGGGCAGTGGCACGGTGGGTCACTGTCACAGGAAGGAGTCCATATTTATATATTTATAGATTTGTTCACATTAGTGGTGAAAAGCAGAAATAGGCAAGTGACTTCCAATAAATTACATCCTTTACATTTGCACACAGTGGAGAGGCTGAGGGGAGAACGGCGTGGCAGGTGTGGTGCAGGGAGGGGGCTTCCGGCTCCTGCGGAGAGCAGCGAGGGCCGTTTCCCAGAGCCGCCGAGGCTGGGCACCGTGGCATGGCTGTGGGCAGCCCAGGCCACTTGCCGCCTGGTGCAGGACGGGCCCCGTCCCTGGCCCGTGTCCTGCTGCCTCGCCATGCACCCCCTGGACCTCGCGGATGCATGCGGCAGCCCTGAGCACCTGCACCCAGGAAAGGGGCTGCGTGTGACCTCAGACCCCCCCTCCCAACTTAGCTCCTGAACAGCGGGACCCTTCTGGGAGTGGGGTCCCAGGAGGCACAGCTGGGAAGCCCCTCCCTGGGGGGGGGGGCGCTGGCGGTGCTGGAAGGGGGGACGCTTTCAGGGGATGGCCTGAGCTGGCACTTCGGGCTGCCCTTCCCTCCTTGGGGGCTTCCTTCTCCACAGGCTGCCAGTAGGCGGCCAACTTTCCTCCTGCCCCTCGTCCAAGATGCCTGGAACAGAAGTGGCGACCCCCCGTTCCTGCTCCTGGCTGCCAGTCGCAGAGAAGGGGGCCAGCAGCTGGCTGAGCTTCTGGAGGAAGGAGGAAGGCCCCTTCGCTGGCTGGCTGGCATGCCGGCCACCTCCAGTGGCGCTGCTGACCGCCTCTTGCCGCCCTGCTGCCCCTCACTGGCACCGGGGAGGGGCAGAAGGGAGCCTGTGGCCCCGAGTCCCCCTTGGCGTCTGGCCCACTCCCAGCTGACTTGGCAGTTGTGCGGGGCCGGTGGCAGTGCAGCAGGCCTCGCCCGGCAGGTGTTGTCGCAACTGGGACAGGAAGACGGGCGCCCTTGGGGAGCCAAGGCCAAGCCTCCGCACGGGCAGCAGCTGGAGCCGACCTGCATGCATCCGGCCCCAGGCCAGCAGCCCTCTTCCTGTGCAAGGCCAGGAGGGGGCACCACAGCGCCCGGCCGGCTCGATCCTGTCCACCGGCAGGGGAGGGTGGCCTGCGGAGGAGGCGGCAAGCTGGAGCGGCGTTCTGCGGAAGAGAGCCTAGCTGGACTAGGGCCTGGCTGCTGAGCCGGGGCGGGGGGCACTGCCTGGGTCTGGGCCCAGCCCCAGCAGGGGCAGGGGGATTCGGCTGGAGGCCCAGCGGGGAGAGGGCCTCCTCTGGCCCCCGCTCGGCAGCGCAGGCGGGAGGGCGCTGTCCAGGAGCTGCGTGCAGAGGAGCAGACACGGGCTTGCTGGGGCCACGGCCTGACGAAGCCGGCTCTGTTCCGAGGGGGGACAGCAGCCCACTGGGCGGGACGCTCTCGGGGGGCTTGCCCCACGGAGCAGGCCTGAAGGAGAGGGGGCAGCTGTGTGGTGGGGCTGGGGCCGTGGCATGGAAAGGGAAGGGGGCTGCAGACGGCATGAGCCACAGGACACTGCCGCGCAGCCACCTGGTGGACCCGGGGGGGGCGGGGGGGAGGCTGCCACCAGGACACGGAGGGGCCCCAGGAAGGCGGGAGTGGCGGCAACAGTGGCGCAGGAGCCCACGGGCGGGCAGGGCCTTGCTGGGGGAGGCACCCGGCCCTCGCCTGGCTCAGCCGGTCGCCGCGCAGCTCTGCGCGAGCCCCGCTCTGGTGCAGCGGGGCCGGAGTGCGTCATGTGCTGGAGGCAAAGCGTGGGGCTTCCAAGGGGTCGTGAGGCCACTTCGCAAGTGCAGCCGGCCAAGAGCGAGCGACAGGGAAGCGCCCGCCACCACCCGGGCACCCGCAGGTGGGCGCCTCCCCATGTGTTGCTCCAGCAGAAGCCAGGAGGGCCGGCCAGGAGGTGCCCTGGGCCGTCCGTCTTCGTCCTGGTCCCCCAGGCTCTCCGCTCTCGGGGCTCAGCCCAGATCATGCTCCTGCCTGGCACCCTGCAGCGCTCCCAGCCGCCGCCGCCAAAGGCCTCCTCCGGTGGGCTCGGGACGCGCACGCAGCCTGGCCCCCCCCGCCCTCCGAGCCACAGGCTCCCTTTCCTGGGCGGGCTGGGGGCTGCTGCTCTCCTGCCTCCACCTGCCCAACCGGGGCCTGCGGCCTGCTGCACAGCAAGAGGGGGGGAAGGCACGTGCCCCGGAGGCCCGCGAGGCGAGAGCATCGACACACGTGGCCGCATGGGCTCAGAAGAGGAAGGCTTTCTTCTTCAGCTCATTCCGCTTCCACAGGGCCAGCTTGGCAAACTCCTCAGGCATCATCGCAAAGACACGCAGGAAATCCTCAGGCGAGAGGTGCCTCTGGGGGGGGGGACGCGAGGTCAGCGGGGCCTTCAGGGCGCACCCCGTGCCGCTGCCTCCTCCCAGGCAACCCCCCCCCCGGCTCCTGGAGCAGCCCTTGGGGCTCCAGCCGGGCTGCAATAGTGCGGCAGGACCCCAGTGCATACCTCCAGCCTCATTCGGTCCACGCCAGGGGGCAGCTTCACTCTCCCTCGGTTCGTCACCATCAGCATCTCGTAAGGGTAAATCTTGCGGGGAGAGAAGAGCAACAGCGTAAGGGCCGCCCTCCCTGCCGGCCACCCCCCTCGAGGAGGCAGGGCACGTCCTCACCTTTAGCTCCAGCATGCTGGGAAGGGAGCTTCCTCGGTCCATGCGCCCCCTCTGGCCATTCTGTGGGAGAAAAGCCCAGTCGCTGGAGCCCAGCAATGGGGCTGGAGCGGCTGCGCCGCCCTGCCTCCCCGTGGCCATCCCCCCACCCTCGGCCCTCCACCGTCCTGCCAGTGAGGGGGTTCACCCTCTGACGCTCTCCTGCTCTCCTCAGAGCAGCTGGTGCGGGTGGCGCAGGAGGGCCATGGCCGCCCCCTCTGGGCATCGTCGCTCCTGGGGCAGGCGCATGCTTACCTGCAGGCCTGCAAGACAAAAGGGGGACCATGAGGCGGAGGCAGGCCACTGGCCCCCCTCGCCTCCTGAGCAGCTGGGGTGGGGCGGGGCAGAGACAGGTGATCTCTGGGCTGGCAGGTCTGAGCCGTCTGGGGCAGGACAGGCCTCGGGGTTGCAGGATTGGCCTTATTTTGACCGGGACGTCCAGACCCACGTGCCCAGAGAGCCACCTGGACGCCTCGCCCTCAGGGATCCCTCTGGAGCATCAGAACCGAATGGCGCGCATGGTCCTCCCTCAATAAACCTTGTCCTGCTCCTTGTGAGCCGTCTTCGGTCCCGGCGGCAATGCCCTTTGGTTGTCGCCGCCGTCAAACAATTTGCAGCGAGAAATCCTCGAGGATCCATTTCCAGTAACCCAGAGATCTCCCCATAGATCCTGATCCACCTTCTGCCCCCTCAGTCTAATGCGGCCAGGCACAGAACCCCCAGGTCAGGGCAGGGGGGAGGGGCGGGGGCAAGAGCGGTCCTGCCCTGCTCCAGGCTGACCCCTGGCTGCACAGCTTCTCTTACCTGGGCTGCCCCTTTCGCTACCAGCAGGGCTGAACTCTGTGGACTGCAGCTGCGGAGGAGGAGGGGAGAGGCGGGGTCAGTCGTGGGCGCAGGGGGCTGCCTCTCTCGCCCTTCGGCGGGGAGGGACGTGTGAGTCTCCCCAGCTTGTGGGCCGAGATGAGGCGAGTGACGGTGCATGGACAGGCACGGCGGTGGAGCGTCTCTGGGGTTCGGAACCCGGCTGCCTGGGGTGGGGCAGGACGGTGGCCCCTTCACCGGCTCTGGGGCCAGGGCGCACCAGCCCCACTCCTGCCCTAGGGCAACCTCCTCCACCTGGTCCCCTCCTAACATTTTGGTCTGCAACTCCCAGCGACCCTAACCACTGCTCCTGCTGGCTAGGGCTGACGGGCATGACGCTATCAAAGAGAGAAGCCCTCCCCCATATAGCGAGAACAATAGAAGAACTGAGTTCCACTGCCAGGAAAAACGCAATTTGCTTTCTCAGCTGCGCAGCGGAATCACGCCCAGCTCCACACGCTGCAAAGGCCGCGCTTCCCAAGTTGCAGCCACAGGCAGGCCGAGAGAATGGAGGGGAAAGGCTGCGGGCACGGGTGGGTCTCCTGGTCGAGAAAGTCCTGCCCAGCACTGGAGCCTCCTGTCCCGGCACCCTCGGCTACGGCCTCCCTCTGCGGCTCGCAGGAACGGCCCGGCCCCTTACCCGGGCGAGCGTGCTTCTTCCGTAGGCAGGGAGCGAGGAGGACTTGGAGCCGCCCGTGTGCAGGGCTGGAAGAGAGGAAGCGCTGCTGAGACAGACGGTGCCACATCGCCGGGCTGAGGGGCGTCTCTGCCAAGGGCAGGGAAGGGGTGGCGCGCCGGCCGGCCGGCCTCTGGCTGGAAATGCGAGCCACGAGGGGGACGGCGCCATCCCACCCACGAGAAGAGCGACCAAGGCTCTGCGAGCAGCGGCGGGCATCCCTGTGCCACAGCAGGGCCTGCCCTGCTCAGCCTCTTCCCGGGGCCTCTGGGCCACAGCTGAGGCAGAGGCAGACAAACCTGCCCCGCTCCCCCAGGCAGCGATGGCGCCAATGCCAACGGCAGGGTCCCCCCAGAGCCCCTCAAGTCCCCTTCGCTTACCCCCGGCTCGAGAGCCAAAACTGAGGGGGCCTCACGCAGCGGAAGAGAGTCAAGGAAAGAAGAGGCCCCTCGTGCCCGGGCAAGGCCACCTGGCCCGGCCCTGCCCGCAAGTGCCGCTGGCTCACTCACAGGTGTGAAAGGGCGTTCGGTCAGGGAGGGAGCGGGTTTTCCTCCGGAGTGGGAGCGACTTCTCCATCTCCTCTTTCAGGATCAGCTTGCCGAGGTTGGAAGCCACCTGGGAGAGAAGGAGCTCAGCAGGGCCAGTCCTGCCGCACCGGCTCTCCCTGGCGCCTCACAGGCATCCCACCCCACAGGCATCACCCCCCACACTCCCCAGGGCTCCCACTACCTTGCTCAGCTCCTCCTTCTGCAGCTCCCGCAAGCGCTTCACGTCCTCCGCGAGCTCCTCCTCCTCCTCGGGCTCACCTCGCCGGGATGCCTTCCGCCGCCGCCACTCGGTCTCTGTGGGGCAGCCAGAGGGAGCTTCATGTGGGGCAGCACGGGCCGGCAGCTAGTGAAGGGAGGGCCTTGTGGCCTGCCAGATGCGGCCTACTTCCTCCCCACGGCCTGTGCATCAGGCGGAAGTACTGGCGGGTGGCTTGGTCCCATGGGGAGAGGGCTAGCGAGGGCTGGCTTGCGCTCAGCTGGTCGCCAGCGAGTTTTTGCACTGCCCGGGGTGGGTGGCTGTGCTGCCCCCCCCCCAGATGACAGGTGCGATGGGGCACTCGTGCCGGCCGGGCAGAAGTGGGGCAGGGCCCTGGCGGGCCAGGTAGGGGTTGACCCGGGAGCAACACTGGGACACACGGATCCGCCGGGCAGGAAGGGCCTTTCTTCAGAGCCGGCCCAGCACTGTGCCTGCAAGAGCATGTGGGCCTGAGCGGGAGGCCCGGGCTGGGATCCTCCCTCAGCCCCGAACGCTCAGGCCAGGGGGCACTTGCTCTCTACCACAGCCCACGAGCTGCAAGGTGGGCGGTCGTTCTGGCCCCCCTCTTGGGCCTGAAGTCTGCAAGAAGCACTCCCTCGCTCCCGCTCGCTCTCCCCCCCCCCCCCGCAGGACTGGACCCACCGGCGGAGGACCACGCACCCACAACGGCCAGGGAGGGCGGGCAGGGCCAGTAGTCCGTCTCGATCTTGGCTGGCTGGCCAGGCTCTGGCGGCTGGGCGGCTGGGAACTTGGAGGACTCGATGATCTGGTCCTCGATCAGGTGCTTGCTTTGTGGGGCAGGGGCCGCCAGGGACTCTGGAACAGAGCGAGGGCAGCGCTGGGCTCGGCTGAAGCCTCCGTGCCTGGCCACCCGCCCTGGGCCCTTGGGCAGCACCTACCCCTCTGTTTGTAGATGGGGGGCTTCTTGTAGAGGTTCGTCTCCGTCGCATTGGTATCTGGGGAAGAGCAAAGCTCAGGGCCAGCAGGCCCACCCTGGGGGCTCCCTGAGGGGCCCCTGCTGAGCCGTTCTGTCCCCACAGAGGCACCGCCCCCCCCTCCTGCCCCATTCCTCCCTCCTCGGGGGGCCAGGCCTTCCTGCCCAGGCCCCTGGGTGGCTGAAGGCAGAGGAGCTGCCGCCCTCCAGCAGCTGCATTCCCGGGTTCCCGGGGAAGCCAGGAGGTAGCCGAGGGCCCGGAGCGCCTCGGAAGCGGATCCGCCTGCCCTGCCCACCAGAGGGCTGTGGCTAGCGGGGGGCGAGGGTGAGGTCACCCTGGGAGCTGTGGGCAAGGAACTGGGGGGCAGTACCGGGACGGTGGAAGTGGTGGATCCCACTGCGGCTGGCGCCGCTGGTCCGGCGACCGGCTGCCTGGGTGGCGCTTCCGGGAGACTTGCTCTCCATCCAGTCCCGGCCGACCTGCAGGTAAAAGGTGGGAGCCACAGGCAGGCAGAGGCTGCAGCCTCCTCCTGCAGCCCCCCAGCCCCCCACCCATCGTTCCTCCCCCTTGGGGGCCCTTCCATTCTGCAAGCGCCCTCCCCTGCGCAGGGACATTGGCAACCAGTCCCAGGGGAGCCCCGTGGCAGCCTCCGTGGGCAAGAGCCGCAGCCTCTGGAAGATCAACCCTGCAGCTTCGGAAGGCAAATCAGGGAAGCTGCTGGGAGCAGCTCGGGGGCGTGAGAAGGGGTTCTGCAGCAGCCCGTGTGTGCATACACACCCGCCCACGTGCCTGGGCTGGATTAGGGATGCCACTGGGGGAGGCGGAGGCTCTTCTCTCCCTGGCCCTCCCTCCCTCCCTCTGCATCCTGTCTTGGCAAAACATCTCCAAGACAACCTGAAGGGGCACTTACTTCTGGCGAAGGAGGAGGAGACAGAGACTTGGGGGAGAGTGAGCGCTGCGGGGAGGGGGGAGAGAGAGCGTGTCACTCGAGTCACTCGTCACTCGCAGGCTGGCAGAGGCACCGCCCACGTGGAGTCCTGCGCGGAGCCTTCCCCCAGCCGCCCCCGTGCTCGCGGCAGTGCCGCAGGCAAAGCGAGGGTCCCCCAGAGCTGGGCAGAGGCCCCCCCGCACCGCGCGGGGCCGTGTGGGGGCCGGGGCTGGCTCACCTCTCGGCTGCTGGGCCTCTCCACGTGGTCCAGGAGGGAGTAGGTGAAGTGCGGCTCGTAGATCATCAGGTCGGGGCGCTCAATGTCCAGGATGGCCTTGTCCTTGGGGAGGGCCGCCAAGTCCTTGTAGGCCAGGACCTCATCATCCATGCGGGCCTGGGGAGGGGAGGCGAGGGAGACGGGTGGGTGCTGGGAGGCGCGGGCCTCGGGCTCGCTCTCCCAGCCACTCCCCGCCCGTGTGCGAGGAGCCCTACAAAGAACGAGAGGCGAGGGCTGGGCCCCGGCGGGACAGCCGGGACACTGGGGGGCTGCGCCTGGAAAGGCCCCACAGCCATGGGGCAGCCCGCACAGACGGACAGCGCCGAGCAGGCCAGGGAGACGGTGGGAGCCGTGTGCCTGGGCCGGCACTGCAGGCCCCTCCGTGAGGCGGCGCTGCTCTTCCCCAGCACGGGGGCGGCCAGGCAGAGGCAGGAAAAGCACAGCGCAGGCAGCATCGGCATCGCAGAGCACTGGGCGCCTCCCCCAGCATGCGGCAGGCCTGGAGCCGAGCACATGCGCCCCCTCCTGCCCTTGCTTCAGGCACCATCGAGCCGGCCACAGGCGGGCCTGACCTGGCCGTGGCTCCCGCCGCTTCCAGCTTCCGGCTTTAGGGCTTTGCAGCGCAGCTCAGCCACTGGTTTTTGCAAGGCGCCTGCAGAGCACCGTGTGAGCAGGCACGGCCAACGGTACTCACCACGATGCTGGAGGGCGACCCTGGGACACTGGAGCCCCGGGAGGAGCTGACGCTCCCTGGGGAGGTCAGCTGCTGCTGGAGAGAAGGAGGAGAGCTTGGTCGGAAGCCCTGCAGAGGGCAGGCAGGGCTTGCGGGAAGGGGAAGCTTCCGGTAACGGGTGGAAGACACAGAGGACAGAAACAAGTTCTGTGGGTCCCAGGAAGGGCAGCCCTGCAGCACAGGTCCCGGTAAGCGGGGCCCCGTGCGGCGGACTGCACCTGGGGAGCCGCACCTGCCAAATACAGAGCACGCTCCGGAAAGCACGCCAACCCCTGGATGCCAAGGAAGTCACGGCAACCGGTCCTGGAACACGGCCAGGACTCCCGAGGCACCTGAAAGACTAATCAGTTTCCCTGGAGTGTAGCCACTTCAGCCCTCGATGCCGGAGTTTGGGCTGGACCGATCCTGCTCCCTCCCTCCCTCGTCCAGGTCTGTATTCTGCCAGCTGCCGGGTATTTATTTATTTATTTAAACATTTTTATGCCGCCCCATTCGCCGAAGCCTCGGGGCGGCTCACATCACTAAGTTAAAATAATTATAATATAAATTAAAAATATAAATATTAAATTAAAAATACAACATCTGCTGCTGTGCCACCCACTGCAGTTTTCTGCAGCATTCCTAGACTGGAGGAAGGCGCCACTGAGGTGCCACGAGCACACCGGCTGCGTTGGAGGTGAGCGATGCCGAACGCCTTGCGGAAGCGTTTGGAAAGAGTCCCTGCCGCTCAGTTGCAGCTCACGCCTTCTCCGGGAAAGGAGGGGCTGCAAGGGGCCAGGCCTCTCCCATCGCGACGTCTGGGAGCCTCTGCGTGGCCTCTCGGCCCCCAGCTTGTGGCTGCCCTGGCCAGACGCACCAGTGAGAAGCCTGGGCGTCCCCCACCGGCTCCCGGCTCCGCCAGCAGCCTGAGGTGGGCCGGTCTCTCTCTGGGCCTCCGTCAGCCTTCGAGCTCGCTGCGAGGGCCCAGCTTCGCGCGGATTGCCCCCCTAGGATGTGCCAAGCACTTCCAGCACCCGAAAACCTGCCCACACACACGGAGGGCCTTTGGACACTCCCTCTCCTGGCCAGCGACCACCAGGGGGTGCAGTGTCCTGCACACACGAGGTGCCAGGTTCACACTGCAAGGGCGTTTCCAAACGGTGCCTTGGTCGCTCGGATGGCAAGCCTGCACGAGGGGCGCTTCTCCCAAGTGGAGTTTGATTTCTGCAAGAGGAGCGGCCACACGACAAAGCTGCACATTGTCAGGAAAAGCCCCCCCCCCCGCCGTCAGAGCAATACGACCGTGGGACCAGCTGCCTGGCGAGGGGGGGCACTCCCACACTGGGGACGTTCAAAAAGAAACTGGGCAGCCCTCTGAGTGGGGTAGGGTGACATCCTGAGCGTGGTGTCCTGCAACTCGATGGTCTTCATGGCCCCTTCCAACTGTACTATTCTGCGATTCTATGAAAACAGGGAATAACAGGCGAGGGGACCTGTTGTTATATTGTTATCTTTAAAATGTTTCAGGTAGGACCTCACTGGTACACATTTACCAATGTAATTACATATTTGTTTATGAACAGTATTTGTAAACTACCCAATAACAAATGTTCTCTTGACAATTAATAGTAACAATAAATTATATGTAATGTAATTTTATATAGCAGGACAGGGGAGATCCGCATGGGAGATGAGATAAGGCCGGGGACTTAGGGGCACAGATTAGAGTCACCCCCCTAGAAGTGGAGGGGCTCCTCAGGGCACTGGATGTTACAAAGGTGCCAGGCCCTGACGGGTTACATCCGAGAGTACTTCGAGAGTTGGCAGGGGTCCTCTCACGCCCGCTGGCCTCCATTTTTGAGACCTCGTGGAGAACGGGTGAAGTCCCAGAGGACTGGAGGGTGGCATCAGTGGTCCCAATTTTCAAAAAGGGTAGTAGAAGGGACATAGGAATTACAGACCTGTTAGCCTTACGTCCATTGTAGGAAAATCAATGGAAAGGCTCATAATAGAGAGAGATCTAGTGATGCTAGATAGGGAAGGGAGGCTGGCAGCCACACAACACGACTTCCTGCCAGACAAACCTTGTGGAATTCTATGACAAGGTTTCGATGTGGCTAGATGGAGGGGATGCAGTGGATGTGGTTTACCTGGATTGCAGCAAGGCCTTTGACAAAGTGCCCCATGACATCCTGGTGGAGAAACTGAGGAGTTTTGGGATAGACCAATGCCCTGTCCGATGGATTAGGGCAGGGGTCCTCAAACTTTTTCACCAGGGGGCCAGCTGAAAGGTGCTGTGCTGGGTGTGGGCCGGAAAGGTAGTGCTGGCGGGATGCACGGCGAGGGAAGGCAAGGCAGGGCAGGGCAGGGCAGGGGCCTGCACGCACTGCAATGCAGAGGCTTGCTCGCTTGGAGATGGTTTTCTCCGAGTGAGTCCAAAACGATCTCCTTGTGAGCAAGTCGCCAGCTCCCTGCATGGGGGGCAAGGTGGGTGGCAGCGGGCATGTGTGGCATGCGCATGGTGCATGGGCGCACACGTGGCGCATTGAAAACCTCTGAGGCAGGCCAGATAAATGGCCTGGAGAAGAGGAGACTCAGAGGGGATCTGTTGGCAGCATACAGGGATGTGAGGGGGTCTCACACGGAGGGGGGCAGAGACCTGTTCTCCCCTGTGGAGGAAGGCAGGATGTGCTCCAACAGAGCAAAGCTCAGGGAACCCAGGTTCCATGTAGATACCAGGAAGCACTTCCTGACAGTCAGGACCCTGAGGGGGTGGAATGGGCTTCCACAGGAGGTCGTTGAGGCCCCATTGGTGAGGGTGTTCAAAGATAGGCTGGACGTGCACGTGGTGGGCATGTCGTGAGCGGAGCCGGGGGTCAGGCTAGATGGCCCAGGAGGCCCCTTCTGACTTGCTCTGTTCCTATGTTTCTATATTAACTGCAAATATTTTATACGCTCCATATTCGTACAAAAAAGCAGTCACTTGTTGCAATCAAATTACAAAATGCCCTTCCAAAATGAGAAGAAAATGAAAAGAGCAAAACAAGAGTCCGTAAAGCTTATACCTAATGGCACCAATCTTTATTTAACCCCCGTGTGCGCAGCTGCACATCTCGCCTTTCAGCAGCCTGACGTCGCTCTGAAAGCACTGGCAGCAGCTCCTGCCTCACCAGAGGCTCAGATTTGCTCTCTCGCGAGGGGAGCCACACGGTGCCGCGTCGGCCCCGCCACAGCTCTTGCTCCTTTCGCCCCCCTCCCCACCTTCTCCGCAGGTATCCCTTTTGCGCAGTTAGTGGCTCCCTTCCAATCCCCTTCTAACCCTCAGATGGGCTTTCCCAGCGGTGATTCCCACTGAGCTCAATGGGCCTCCTTCCAGGTAAGTGAGGAAAAAGACTAATACGAGGCTATGGGGGACTGGAAGGCGTGCGCAGCCAGGGCTGGGCAGGGCAGGGAGGCCTCACAGGCGCGGCACGAGATCCGGGCTGCAGACGCAAGCTCCGTTTCATTTTTCCAGCCCTGCAGGTGCTACAACTTCAGGGAGGATGCTCTGGGTACCTACTTTTAAAACTGGGTTGGCGAGCAGTTTTTCTTCCAGCAAATCAAGAACACAGAAGCTGTTGCAAAGCGCAGGCAGGCAGGTGGGTAAGAAAAGTGCTGCCTGGAGCACGGTGCAGCTGAGGGGCGCAGAGGGTCACGGAAGGAGGGCACGCACGGCCTGGCCCAGCGGCGAGCCGGCCAAGGTTTCGCAGGCAAAAGGGCGACTCCCTCTCACGCAGAGAGACTCCCTCCCTCCGGACAGCCGGAGGCCTGCTCCCGGCCAGCGTGGCACCCATGTCTCAAGGGCTGATCATCAGATGGATCACGCTGAACCTCCTTGCAAGGAGGCTGTCAAACCAAGAGGGCACCTGACTGCCCTTCGCAACGCAGCCTCCCTGCAAACGCCTCACTCTGAGCAAATCTCGCCGCTGAAATGGTAGCGGGAATCTCCACTGAACTAGGCACCCAGCTCAGAAATTACCTTCTGTAGCTTTTCCATTCAGTGAACTCCTGCGGGGTCCAGTTCAGGCATCAAGCCCTGTACGGGGAGAAGAAGCAGAGGTGTGAGCAGCAGGTCCCCAACGGCCTGCCCAGGGCTAGGGACGGCAGCCAGAGTGCTGCGGGGGCAGAGGAAGACTGGGCCCCCTATGGCGCGCCCACAGGCTGCCTGGTCAGCACCGCTCAGAGAACACAGATCACGGACAGGAGGAAAGTGATCGAGCGGCCAGCCAGAAGGAGCCACGCCCCAAACCCCTCTCCTAGGAACGGCCTTGGAGGCTCATTGGGTGAAATCCAGCATAAGCCCTACTCAGCGTAGACCCAGTGAACTGAACTGCACCTAAGTGAGGGGCTGAAAACTTCTCCAAAGGGGTCTACTTGAAGTCGGACGTGTTGGGCTTTACCCTCATGTGGTGCTTTCCCATCAGTAAACTGCCCATGGGGGGCTCCACGCGGCTGGTGCCAGGCAAGAGCGGGTGCCTCCCCGGTGCACCCAGCCCCCGCTCTCCTGCGCAGCCTCTGGCAGCTGCTCCCGCAGCGGCGGCACCTCTGACCAGTTCTGGGCATCGAAGCGGGCATCAGGCAGAGCCCCAGAGCGGCACCGAGGAGGGCTCCATGGAGGAGGGGGCCAGGTGGGGAAAGGAAGCCCCCCCATCTTGTTTGGTCTCAGTCCTGCCCTCCTGCCCCCGGGAGACTGAGGCCGCCAGGCAGGAGGGGGAGGGGAGTGATGCTAGTGCAGGAGGAGGGGGGGCCAGGCACATCATGCTGTGCTGGGGGGGGGGGGGCAGCAGGGCAGGGTGGGAGAGGCCAATTCGGCTCAGATCTTCAGCTTGCGCGGGTAGAACCAGGGTGGCACCAGCGGCCCCCTCCACAGAGGCATGGAGGGGTGCACATCTGATGGGAGGCGGGAGCTGAGGGCGCAAACCTGCTCGGCTGGTTTTCTGCATCCCTCCGACCCTTCCAAGACTTGGGCCGGGACTCCTTCCGCAGGGCGAACAGGGCGGTTCAGCATCACCCACCCGCCTGGCCTCCTGCTGGCCCACTGCAGACTCAAAAGTCTGTGAGCAAGCACAGCGGGCGCTCCGAGAGGCCGTGGGTCCCTGCCTGAAGGGCAAAGGGGCCACTCCAGCTGGCAGCCAAAGCACAGATGCCCTCAACGGAGCTGCGGATTCCCGGCAGGCACGGCACCCCACTGGGCCTCTTGGGAAAGCTGGCTGGACACCCACCAAGTCTGTCCGTGGCTGCGATGGCTGCAGCCGGGCAGGTGGCCGCCACCTTGCCCCCTGTGGCCACGTGGATGACCCTGAACTGGCTGTGTGCCAGGAACCAGGGCAGGGTTGCCCGAGGGACAGCCAGATCGTGACATCAGGAGCTGCTTCTGCAGCGGGGCAGCGGGGCCAGCAGAGACCAGCCTTGGCCCCGAGGAGTGGGAGCAGCTGCGCCCCCCCCCAGAAGGCTCCCCCATCTCCTGAGGCCTCCAGGTGAGCCCGTGGGCCCATCTGCCCTGCATCAGCCTTGTTGTGCAGGCCGATCGCTGGCCTGGGGCGCAATCCGGGAAGAGCTAACGAGCCGCTAGGCACAAACACACAGCCCAGCCGGGAGGTTCCAGAGAGGCAGCCTGGCAACAGCCTGGCGGCAGCCCTCCCCTCACTGGCAGGCAGGCAGGCAGGCAGGCAGGCAGGCAGGCCCCACATTCAGGGCAGAGGCGGGAGAGGCCGGCACACGGACGGACGGGCGGGCAGCCGGCGGGCTCCTGCTTCCGGCTTCTCCTTGCACTGTGTCCTGGGGGGAGGGGGTTTGAGGCAGCAGCTGCTTCCACAGACAGGCGGGGTGGGACCAGGCACTGTTATCTGGCGGCCAACAGGGACAGCCTCAGGGAAATTCAGGAAAACATCACTGCACAGAATCCAAGCACAGAGTGCTGCTCAGGGCACAAGTGCCCCAGAGAGACGTCTCTGTTTTTCAAGACCGGCAGAGGAGGCCGCCCTGGGAGTCCCGCACCAAGGGCAAAGCGCTCGGAGCGTGCATGCGCAGCAGCGCCTTCCTGGCTGTGGCACCGAGTGCTGGGCCAGAGCCCTCCTCCTGGCGCACACCACTTGTGCATAAAGAAGCAAGAGTGCAGCCAGGGACAGCAGGTGGCCCTTGCGTTTAATGCTCGGCTGTGGCTCCATGCCAGGCCGAGACAGAAAGGGGCTCCACGGCCTTTGGAAGGCCTTCTACTTGCAGGCCTTTTTTCTGCCACAGGATTTCTGCTGTTCTGCGTGATTTTGCCCTCACCACGACACAAACCACCCTGAGCATGCTGTCTGCCCCCGGGCTTCTTGCTGAGGCAACACGGGAGCCCCCTCGGGAACGGGCATGAGCAAAGTGGCACGCGAGTGAGCCGGACCAGTGCACTGCCCACCCTCCCCCACGCCACCGGCCCTCCCGCGGAGCTTGGCCGAATCGCCTTCTGGATGCCCCCGGCTCCCCCACAGAAGAGGCCACGACCAGCCTGCCCGGTTCCTCTGCCCTGAAAGCCCCGTCTGTGCGTGGGGCCGGGAGCGGGGTGGGCGCCGGATAAGGCTGCATTGTGTGCGCCAGGCAGGGAGGAGCGCTGGGCCTGCGCTCACTTTTTCCACGAACGCCGTGCTCACAAAGCGAGCGGGGCAGGACTGCCGGCCGGCCAGACTGGGCGCCCCCTTGCTCACAACAGCCTCGCCCGGTGCCCCCGGAGCCAGCTGGGGCGGGGGGGGGGGGGGGCCGGCGCCCCCCCGTGTGGGGCGGCGCCCCCGGCCCCGGGGGGGCCGGGGGGCCCGGGGGGGGGGGGGGGCATCCCGCGGACGAGCTGCGGCTGGCCTGAGCGCGTCGGGCAGGTGTTGGGGCCAGAAGGCCGGCTGCCCCCAGAAAGGCCCTCGCCACGCCACGCGTTTCGCGCCCCGCACGGCCGGCCTGCCGGGGCAGAGCCAGGGGCGAGGGAGCAGGAGCTGGGGCAACCGCCGGCCGAGGCGGGCAGGGAGGGGCGGCATCGCGGCTCGGCTCGCTCGCTCGGCGCGGCGCGGCGCAGCTCGGCTCGGCCGGCTCCCCGCGCCCCCGCTTATCGGGAGCGCCAGCCCCGCCGCCGCCGCGCCCGCTCCCTGGCAACCGCCAATCTCCGCGGCCAGCCGCGCATTCCCGACCAGCGCCCGGGCTGGGAGCTGCTCGGGCACGTGAGCGGCCGCGCCGGGCGCCGCAAATAAGCGGCCTCGGGAGCGCCCGGTGCGGCGCGAGGGGGGCGCCGGAGCCTCGTCCCCCGGCAGGGGAGGCGGGCCCGTGGGAAGGTCGCGGAAGGCGCCGGGCACGAGGTGCACACGCACCCGGGCGGGCGGGGGTCCCCGGCGGGGGCGCGGGAAGGGCGAGCGAGCCGCCGCGCTGCCCCCTCCCTGCCCGGAGCAGGCCCCTCCCTGCGGCCCGGACGGTGTTCCGCGGCCCTCCGGGGCGACTGCGCCGCCGCCTTCGCTTGGCCCCGTCTCCCACCGCGCGGCTCGCCTGCAAGGCGCCCGGAGCGGCACCCCCGGGCTCGGCGGGGAGCGGCTGCCCCTGGGCGGGCCAGGAGGCGCAGTGTGGGGCAGCAGCTCATCAGACCCACGGAGCCAGCGGGCCGTGACCCGCCAGGTGCAGCAGCTGGCGAGGGCGGCCCCACACGGGCGCAACGGCTCTCCCAGCCTGCGGCCCTCGAAGCAAGCGCAGCCCAGCCAGGAGAGCCCCCCCCCGCGAAAGCGCCTGCTCCCCTCACTCATGGGTCGGGGCACCTCCGGCCCCGAGTGCAGCACGACGCTTGCCTTGCAGGCCCCACAGACACGCACCAGGGACCCTGCGCCCCAGGAGAACTCCAGCAGGCACCATGCTCCCTGTGGGGCTGAAGGAGGGGTGGGAGAAGCAACTCTCCCCCGCCCCCAGCACGTCACGTCTCTGCCTTCCCTTGGACTGTGGCCGCCGACACATGGGCCTTGGCACTCTGAGCGACGCCCAGCCGCAGCAGTGGCCCTGCGGGCAGCCACCCAAGCTCGGCAGCGCGTCTGGTCATTGTGCCGCTTCTCCTGGCACACGCAAAGCAGGCGGGGGCACCGTCCCGCTGCTGCAGGATGAGGGGGTGGGTGGACATGCTGCCCCTGGACTCAGACCCCCAGGAAATTTCCAGCATGATCCGGGGAAGCAGACGGGAGCTACAAAGCTACACTCCCCAGTGGACCGGCCCCCGGTGCACATGCCCCGTGTGCAGATTTTCCACAAACACCCCACGTGCTCTGGCTGTCCGGCAACCAGCAGGGTCAGCAGAGCAGCCCCAGGACAGCCCTGCCACTGTTCCCGTGGGCGGGAGGCCCGCTGGGTGTGGCGTGGCCTCGGCTCTGTGCTCAGGCTCTGTGCTCGGGACGACTGGCAGGGAGGCAGGTCACGTGAGGTGCGAGCTGCAATTAACAGGATTAGCTGGCTCATCTCCTCCTCGGTGGAGGGGGCCTCACGCTCCTGCTTGCTGGCAGAGGGAAAGGAAAGGCCGGCCAGGCTAGGCCAGAAGCCTCTCGGGAGAGCTGGACAGTGGGGCTCCCGTGCCACGCTGCCAAGCCGATCGGAGAGCGCCCAAAGTGCTCCCGTGTGCCCGTTGCCCATCTGCCATCCCAATCACGTGGTGGCCACCTGGCTGCCCATGCAAAACCACAGCACAGCACTTTCTTGCCCATGTGCCCCGGCAACTGGGGCACACCGGCCTTGCACTGCTTCTGGAGTGGAGGTCACGCACAGCCAGGCGGGACTAGCAGCCGTCACACGCCTGTTCCTCCAGTTCCCTTCTGAAGCCACCCCAAATGGGGGACACCACTGCACCCCAAGGAGGTGAAGCCCACAGATCGACCCTGGGCCAAGCAAAGAAGCCCTTCCTGAATCTGCCCTGCATCTCCACCCCATGGCCCACGGGGTGACCCCTCTGGGCTCCAGGATAAGGGGAAAAGGTCTCCCTCTCCCCAGCACACGTCCTTCTGAACACTCCGCCCTGCCTCCCCTGCCTGCCTTCTCGGCTAAGCCAGTCCGGATCCCAGGCTCTCCTCGCCTCACTGTCCTGCCAATGTCAGCCCAAACCAACTCCTCCCTCCCTCCCTCCCTCCCTCCCTCCAACAAGGGCAGTCCCAGAAAGGCCACCCCCTTCCATGAGCTCCTCTGAGAGCGTTGTGCCAAGCAGCCGCTCAGGCTGGCTGGCAAAAGCGAAGCTGCCCTGGCCTCTGCCTCCTGTCCCTGAACGGAGAAATGCAAGCAGGCTGGCTGATCTTTACTTTGTTTATCGACATTATTTTAAAACTACCCTTCATCCCGAAGGATATTAGGGCAGCACACAATCAATACAGCCAAAGCAGGTCAGGCAAAAATACAATAGTAAAACAACCCCCTTCCTGAGAAGACAGTTAAGAGGCAGCTCAAACATGGGACGGACTGGCCAATATATCTCCACTTAAAATGCCTGGGCAAAGAAAGGGGCTTGACGCCACACCAAAAGACTGCAGCATCACTGGCAGCCATACCTCTGTGGCATGGCTGGAGATCTTGTGGCCCTCCAGGGGCGGTTAGACTGCAATTCCCCCTTCCATCCAGCAGAGCCAGTGCGGGGGAGGATGGGAGCTGTGGTCTACTGAGATCAGGAAGGCCCTGCATTCACCACCCTGCAGGAACTGGGGCGCTGACTTTGTTGCCATGCAAGCATCCCTGGAGAGCAAGAGCATCTGAAGGTCTCAACACAAGGGAAGGCTAGAGAGGGATTCTCCCTCAGGCATTTGGCCCCAAGCCATTTAGGGCTTTCAGGGTAAGCACTGGCACTCAGGAGCAGACGGAAAAATGGAGCCAGACTTGGTTTGCACACCTAAACAGTTTCATCCTAAGGGTGCGAAAACATGCCGAGCTGCTTCTGCAGGCATCCCAAGTGGCTCTGATTGCGCTCTGCTCATGCAGGAGTGCCCCCCCCCGCCGGCCAAGGCATCCCTGCCAGAGGGCTGCCCAGCTGCACCTTGAGTGCCTCCAGTGCAGCGGCACCCACTGCCTCCCTAGGCCCTGGGCTCCATTTTCGTCCCGCTCTAATAGTCAGGAAGTTTTTCCTGATGTCCAGCCAGCATCTGGTTTCCTGTGACATGAGCCCATTATTCCACGTCCTGCACTCTGGGATGATGGAGAGGACAGCCCGGCCTTCCTCTCTGTGACAGCCTCTCAAGGACTTGCAGAGTGCTCGCCTGTCTCCCTTCAATCCTCTCACAACTAAACATGCCCAGCTCTTTCCATCTCTCTTCATAAGACTTTGTTTCCACTCCCTGAATCATCCTTCTTGCCCTCCTCTGAGCCCTTTCCAGCTTGCCTGCTCTTTATTAAACTGTGGAGTCCAGAAGTGGATGTATTTTATTTATTTATATTGCTATTTATATCCTGCCTTTTTCCTACAAAGGGCTCAAGGCAGCTTACATCTTTCTCCTCCTCCATCTTGTCCCCACAACAACAACCCTGTGAGGTGGGTTGGGCTGAGCGTCTGTGACTGGCCCAGAGTCACCCAGCAGGCTCCATGGCTGAGCGGAACCCGAACCCGGATCCTCTGAGTCCCAGTCCCACGCTCTTCACCACCACGCCACCCTGGATGCCAGACTCCAGATGAGGCCTAACCAATGCTGAGTGGAAGGGAACCGATTCTTGGAAGCTGCACCTCTATTAATAAAGCAGCACAATAAAACATTAGCTCTTTTTGCAGCCACATCACACCGTTGACTCATACTCAGCTTGTGAGCGACAACAATTCCAAGATCCTTCCCACTTGCAGTATCGTTGAGCCAAGTATTCCCCCCCCCCCCCGTAACAATGCATTTGCTCTCTTTCTCCGAGGTGCAGACCTTGGCATGTGTCTCTATTGAATTCAGTTCTGCTGCTTTCAGCCCAGAAGTCCACTCTATCGAGATCACCTGAATCTTCTTTGTCTTCCAGTTTTGCCTCATCTGCAAATCTGAGAAGCGTTCCCCACACTTCCTCATCCAAATCACAGATAAAAGAGCTGAAGAGCACTGGGCCCAGGACTGTCCCTGCAGCACCCCACCTGTTACCTCTCTCCGGCCGGAGGAGGAGATGCTATTGCTGAGTCTGATTCTGTGACCAACTGCAGATCCACCTGCTCCCTGTTTCCTCTAGCCCAGTTTTAGCTAGTCTGTGAATCATGGAGCACTTTGTCAAAAGCTTTGCTGAAGCCAAAATATCTTATGTACACAGCATTCTCACAGTCCATCAGGGAGGTTACCCAATCAAAAAACAAAGTCGGATTAGTTCAGCAGGATCTGTTATTGACTATTCTGTGCTGACTTCTAGTAATTACTGCATTGTTTTCAACAGGTCTGCAGACCTATTGCTGTACAATCTGCTCCAGAACTTTCCCAGGGGTTGGGCGTCAGACTGCCTGGTCTGTCGTTCCCAGGTCCTCCTTCTTGAAGATGAAGACATTAGTCCATCTCCGGCCAACAGGCACTCCTCCCGTCCAAGATTTCCCAAAAGTAAGAGAACGTGGTGGTTCTCCTTTATGACTCTAGGATGGAGTTCACTGGGCCCTGGAGGTTTGAACTCATTCGACCCAATTTGGCAGTCCTTGACCATTGGCCTATCAATATTGAGCTGCCCTCCTGCTCCTTCAGCGCCAATTGACCATTTCTCCCTTCTCTTTGGCATCTGTTATTATTTGGCCACCCACCGAGCAGCTGAACCCCATTCCGCCCTCCATTCCTCGCCTTGGTTCGCTCCTCACATCAGCCTCCTGGAAGCCTCGCCGCACTCCCGCGCTACCTGCCCGCCCGCCCCCCGCAGCCACGCATCTCCTTTCGCTGGCCCTGCCCGCTCCAAGCGCCCGACAGCGCCCTGGGTGTGGCTGGCGGGCGGGCGGGCTGCCGGTGCGCAGGGCCACTTCCCGCGAGCGGGGCAGGGACTCCGCGGGGCTGGGCTCCTGCGAGCCCGCGCTCCACCGAGCGAGCCTGCAGCTCCGGGCTCTGCCCCGCGGGAACCGGCGAGGCTGCAGACGGGAGGGCGGCGCCGGCCACGCCGACGGAGGGAGGCCTCTGGGCAGCTGCGCGCCCCGGCCCCTTCGCGTCCTGGGGGTGGGGAGCGGAAGAGCAGCCGGAGAGCCTCCGGAGGGCGGCCGGGACCCCGCGGGATGGGCGGGCGGGCGCGGGTCGTGGCGGGAGTCGCCCGGGCGCCGCCGCAGGGAGGCCGCGAGGGCCTGGAGCGTCGCTTGCGGAGGCCAGAGAGGCGCGGACAGCCTTCCCGCCAAGCCGCCGGGCTGCCGGTGCGGGGCTCGCTCCCCGCGTCCCCGCGCGCACGTCCCACAGAGCAGCAAGCGCGGCCGTGGAGCGGATACAGATCTCCTCCGCCCGCAGCGGGACCGCCTCGCCCCTCGCTTCGCACCGGCCTTCCGAGGCCAGCAGCGCCGCTCGATCGGCGCCTTCCCGACGGGGCGGCAAAGGCTCGCGGTGCGGCGCGGGGGCGCCCCGGGGCATGCAGGCGCGGCCAGGCAGGGCGCAGCGGGTGCCTGCGTCCCGTTCCCCCGAGCGGAAAGGCGGTAGCGGCGGCCTGCCTCTCCCCCTCTCCCGGGCACCCAAACACAAGCTCAACAGGTGCAGCGGGGGCTGCGGCCGTCTCTGCGCACTCACCGAGCCAGACGGGGCGCGAAGCGAAGAGGCCAAGGGGCGAGGGCCCCGTTCCAGGGTGCTGCAGCCGCCGCCAGGCGAGCGGAGCTCGGCAGGCCGCGCCGGGCACCGACAGCGAAATCGGCCGCTCGGGGACACGCGCGTCTGCGCGGGAGAGCGCAGCAGCCTCCCCTCGCTCTGCCCGCCCCTTCTGGCGCTGCGGGGCCGGCTTGGGCGGCCGCGGGGGAGCGAGCCGCGCCGTGACGGAGCAGGTCTGGGGCGCGCCCGGGCGGGGAGCGCGGCAGGCGGCAACGGGCCGCGGACCCAGCCGCCGCCGTCTCCCGCCGGGAGGAGAAACCGAGCCGCCTCTCCTCGTGGCTCCCAACCCATGCCTTGCTCTCGAAGAGAACGGTGCCGGGGCTCCTAGCAACCCCACGAGGCGCCCCTGCCGCCGCCGCGGCCCGCGCATCTGGAGCAGGCCATGCTGGACCTATGGCGCGGGAGAGGCTGCGCGGTGCGCCCCTGCCCCGGATCACGGAGCAGGGTGCTGCTGTCGCCGCGGCTCGCGGAGCAGGACGCCTGAGCGCTCGGGTTGCCCGGCCAGCGAACCACGCCCGCCGGATCCGTCTGCCCTCGCAGCGCCCCGGCGGCCCGCCAGGCTGGCCTGATGTGCCCGGCCAGAGCGCGGGGCCGGGCGAAGCCCGCACGGAGAGCACGTCCGGGGGCAGAGCGACCCCCCCTTCCAGCCCGGAATTCCCCTGCCGGTGCCAGTTCCGCGCAAGCTGATTGAGCGGGGCCGGCAAAGGCCGCGGAGCTGCCGACAGACGCCCCCGAGCTGCCCGGACAAGCCGGTGCTGCCATTCTTGGGGCACGGAGCAGGGGGCCAGGCGCGCCCGCCTCGTCCCTGCGCTCCGGGCCGGAGCCTCCGGCACGGGGCCGTCGGGCGTCGGCCAGCCGCTGTTCCCGCGTCTCATCAGTGCTCCTGCGTTGCCCCCGGGGAACTTAGCGGGGCCGTGACCGGGAGCGGAGGGGGCAGGAGCAGGGCAGGCTGCCGGAGGGGCTGCGGGAGCGGAATGCCGCGCGTGCCAGGGCGAGCCTCGCCGCTGCTCGGCCTCGGTCTCCACGGCTCGCCCGGGGGCAACGGGACGGCAGCCATTTTCTGGGCGGGCCCGCCCCGCCGCAGCAGCCCGGCCGTTCGGCGGCAGCGGCCCCCCCGGGGCGCGCGCCCCAAGGCCGGACCCTCGCTCCGCGG